TCCTGACCTCATGATCTGCCCACCTTGGCCTCCCAGAGTGCTAGGATTATAGACTTGAGTCACTGCACCCGGCCTTTTTTTTTTTTTTTTTTTTTAGTTCATATCACTTTAGATACCACTCCATAACGTAGCCATGCTTAATATAAAAATGGTAGGATTTCTCCCAAAATATTGGCAAAAAACTATCATCCCAGAAAATGTGCCAATCCCAGGAATTCCTGTCCCTGGCGCACACTGCCTCGCCATACCTGAGCCCTGTCTGAGATGCCGAGGGCTCAATCCCAGCCTTTAGCTTCAAGGGTGGAAGGGAAGTCCAACCCACCCATTTCTGTTGGGTAAACCTGGTCTTGTGGCTGTGGCCACTGGTGATTCTCTCTCCTGGGAATTTGGAATGGAGGCCCATCCATTAGCCTGGGGAACTGGCTGGAGCTGACACTCTGCACACTTAGGAGCAGGCCAGGTGTGTGGAAAAGCATGGGCATCAGGTCTCCCAGACGAAGCACAGATGTGCAGTGGGAAGTGGAGACGGGGGACCCTGTGGCGCCAGAGGGAATGAGGGAGGTCCTTGCATTTTGACCTCTTCCAGTGCCTCGTGAGATCTGAGGCCATCGCCTGACCTTGGGTTCCCTGCCCTCTGGAATCCTGTTAGTAAATTTCCCTCTTTTGTGGGGTGTTTTGTTTTGTTTTGAGATGTAGTCTCGCTCTGTCACTGAGGCTGGAGTGCAGTGGCACAATCTCGGCTTATTGCAACCTCCGCCTTCTGGGTCCAAGGGATTCTCCTGGCTCAGCCTCCTGAGTAGCTGGGACTACAGGTGTGCACTACCATACTCGGCTAATTTTTGTATTTTTAGTAGATGGGGTTTCACCATGTTGGCCAGGCTGGTCTCGAACTCCTGACCTCAGGTGATCTGCCTGCCTTGGCTTCCCAAAGTGCTGGGATTACAGGCGTGAGCCACTGCGCCCGGCCCCCTCTTTTGTTTTAAAGAAAAGAATAAGGCCTAGAAGCAGGCTAAGGGCACAGCCAGGCAGAGGAACAAAAAGCTAAGGGTCGATGGTGGCAGGCCCAGGAGGGGAGTAGGTGATATAAAAGGAGCAAGGACATGGTACAATTCACCTCTGCATGTCCCTCATCCAGCATGGACCCATAGGTGCATCTGATCACTGTGTCCTGCACCGAACACTGACAGGCTATCTGAGCCTCCCTAGCTCCATCCCCGCCACCAGGATGATCCAGTCACTCACCTGCCACACAGAGGTCAAAGTAGTCACCAAACTCACTTCGGATGTGCTTCACCAGGTCCACTGCGTAGTTGAAGCCTCCCTCCTCCTCTTCCCACTGGTCACCTATGGGGTCTGCAGGGTTAGTGGAGGTCATGGTCACTGGGTCTCACCCAGCCTCCAGAGAGCCTTTCTGTTCCCTCTACCTAGCCCTGACACCTAGGACTGCGAGTCCCTGAAAGGCAGAAACTTCGTATTATTTAGGTTTGGTTCTTCTCTTTCTAGCCCTTGGTAAGACAGTGAGAGGGAAGAAAGCAGCCCACCCGTTCAGTATTCACTGGGTGCTGACCCTGTGCTGACGGTGGAGAATAGGAGACCACTGCTGCTCCTCACTGTGCCTGGAGGACTGGAGAGCCCTTCCCTACTTCTACCTGGGCATGCCTGCCACCCTTTCCCATCCCACGGCCTTAGGGCTCCTGCCTCCTGGGAGAATTTTCTACTCAAGTGAAGGGGTCTTGTGGTGGGGAGCAGGAGGCCACAGGACCCCACCCCTCAGGCTCCCTCTTCCCACTCTTGGGTGGCCTGACGACAGCAGGCACCAGAGGCCTAACCGGCTATTCTCACTCCTGGATACTCTGTGATTGGGCCAAGTGCTGGGTGCAGCCAGCAATCGATGCAGTGGTATAGGCAGGGCAGAGGGTTATCAGGCTGCGACTGCATTCCCGACGGAACTCCTACGTCGAGGTCAAGAGTTGGAAGAGGTGGCTGCCTGTGTGGGGTGCCCAGGGTGACTCACTGCCCACAACGCCTGCTGACACTACTGGCGGGGATGGGATCCTGCGGATCCTCAGCGTGGGGCCCAGGGAGCAGTAAAGGACCGTTTCAGGAACCAAGTTCAGGCTACAAGTGGCCTCTGGGAAAGCCAGAACCCAGAGTGTAGGAGTGCTGGCTCCACACCTCCCCGCAGTGCCATGATGTTCTTCAGGCCCAGCTGCTTGGCTTTGTGCAGATGGCCCGTGATCTCCTCCAGGCGCTGACAGCAGCAGGTCATGTGCAGGATGGTCTCCAGGCCACAGTAGTTCACGGCGGTGCTGGCGATCATCATGGAGGAGGTCTCCTTGTCTGAGCCAGGGTCACCTGCTGGGTGCCAGGTCACATCTATGAAGAGGGGGCCGCCTGCCGCCATCCGGTCAAACCTGTAGGGGGTTTGTTTCTGAAGAGAGGTTCCAGGGGAAATACCATCCCTCACTGCCTTCCCACGGGGCCCGGGGGTTAGAGAAGCATAAATGAAGGTTGGAGACAGACCAATCAGTGTTCATATCCTGGCTTTGCTACTTATAGCTGTATGATCTTGGGTACATTACTTAACCTCTGTGAGTTCTGTTTCCTTATTTATAAGATGCAGCAGATAATGGTAACCACTTCATAATAACACTAGGAGGCTAAGTGCAGTGGCTCACGCCTGTAATCCCAGCACTTTGGGAGGCTGAGGCGGGCGGATCATTTGAGATCAAGAATTCAAGACCAGCCTGGCCACATGGTGAAACCCCATCTCTACTAAAAATACAAAAATTAGCTGGGTGTGGTGGTGGGTGCCTGTAATCCCAGCTACTTGGGAGGCAGAGGCAGAGGCAGGAGAATTGCTTGAGCCAGGAGGCGGAGCTTGCAGTGAGCTGAGATCACACCACTGCACTCGGGCCTAGGCTACAGAGTAAGACTCCGTCTCAAAAAAAAAAAAAAAAAAGCAGCAACAACAACAAAAAACCATAACAACACTAGGAGAATATGACGGCAGCTGGTTCCACAGCACTTAGAACAGTGCCTGGTGTACAAACCAAATACTCAGTATATATGAGGTGCCGTCGTGATCACTATTACAGAGGTAAGACACAATAACAGCGCCACCATTTTGTGACAGCAGCACTTCAGACTTTTCACAGCGTTTGCCCATTTATTATCTCGGGTGAGTTAAGACATCGTGGTTGAGAGTCAGGGGAATCCTAACTGTGGCAAGCACAGCCTCGCCGTAGGAACAGTTAGAAAGAGGGTCGGCAGACTCACGTTTCTTTCATGCCACCCCCCAAGCCCTGTGCAGCAGCTTACAGCTGTGCAGACCAAGGCCAAGTTCCGAAACGAGACTCAAAAGCCTGGATGTGCACGAGTACTTGTGTTACAAGCTATCGGCGGTGTATTTAAACATCCTTGTGTGTTTAAACTTCAAAAACTTGGGAGTGACACGTGAGAAGTGCAAACAGTAAAAGCCATAAACTTTAAAAAAAAAAAAAAACTGCAATTCATGAAGTGCTAATGTAATTCAGTTGGCATTTCTAGATTTCAGGAAGCATAATCCAAATTTCTAACTTGCTGAAAACATTCTTACTGCTTTGTGACTTCCTAAACTGCACTCGTGATCCAGCCCCCAAGTTCCACCAAAGAATATACTGTGAGAATCAACATTTTTAACCCATTGAAGAGTGTGTCTAAAATACCCTTGACACTGTGGAGGGACTTTTACAGGCAAGAGAAGTGGCAGATCAGATGACCCACTCTGCCTTCTCCTTCCTGCCTGCTCTGGCTGCTTTTTTCTCCCGGGTTAAAGGGCAGCCCAGCCTCAGGGCTGACAGTTGGCTCCCCAGGAACCAGAACTCCCCGCCCCCACCTTAACCTTGCATCAATTTACCTTGAGATGAGATTGACAGCTCCCTCAGCAGTTCGAGGAGGGAAGAATTCCAAAGAGAACCACTTGTCACCAGATTCCATTCGCCGCCTCATCTTGTCCCGGAGTCTCTCATGCCGCTCGGGGTCCAGGCCCGGGGTGGAACATCTCGAACTGTCTTTGGAGCTCTCGCTGCTACTGCTGGCACTGCCCTCCAAACAGGGGTTGAGGCTGCCATTTCCTCTGGCTTCGTTCACCATGGCCAGGTTCCTGCTGCACGGGGTGGGGCAGGGAGCATCAGGGGGCAGGCAGCCACACCCCCGGCACATCGAGACACCTGAGTGGCAGGTTCAAGCCGGAGGTGCTGTATTTCCACACAGGAAGAAGGCCAAAAAAGGTGACACTGCCCCCTCCCAGTGGCTCCATGCTACTCAGCTATGGCTGTCGGGGCCGCCTCACTCAAAGCCTAGCCCTCCGCTGCTGCCAGGTTCCTTGCATGCAAGGCAGCCCCCACCCGGCACTACAACGTGCTCCTCGGTGACAGCTACCTGATGGAAGGTGCCACAGAGAACCTCACACTGCCAGCCTGCGAGGCCCATATTCCTAGTGAGGGGCAGTAGTGCCCAGCTGGGAGGACCCTGGCTTTTCGATGGTCCATCTCTGTCAGCTAGGCCCAGAGTGCGTGGGGAGGGAACAGAGGCACCTTCCCCAGCGGGTGGGTGTGTTCAACTGGGCGGAGCTGCGACAAAGGAAGAGGCCTGAGCTCGAGCCAGCACAAGGGGGCGGGGGCAAGACTTCCAGGCGAGGAGGAAGGGCTGAGACTCTAGTAAGGGGAGGCGGATGGAAGGAGGGGGACTCGGGCAGAGATTGCAGGGGTTGGTGGAGATGAGGAACAGCTCACTCTGGCTGGCTCTGCCTGGAACATCTGTTACTTGAAATAGTGTGTGCGCAGGATGGAAGGGGTGAGGGTTTGACTATGCAGCCAGCTTTGTCCTGAGTTCATGCTACTCCAAAAAGACCGTGTCGTGGGTTAGAACTGGACGCTGGCCATATTCCAAAAATAGCCAGACCCAAGTTCAGTAAGGGCACGAATTTCTCAGAACAAAAGCTGCCCCATCTGTGCTTGCCTTGCAGGCTGGTCTTCTTACACACCACAGAATTCAATTAAAATCATCACAGTGACCCAGCTACTGGGAAGGCTGAGGCAGAAGGATCACCTGAGTCCAGGAGTTCAAGGCCAGACTGGGCAACAT